TCTGCTACTGAAATTCTATCTCTGTCTATCTGTCTGTCTGTCTCTGTCTTCCTACCCCATCAGCTCCATCTTCCTAACCCAGGAATAATAAAATCTTACAGCCATCATCTAGTCCAGCTTCCCTCTGATAATCATGAGCTGCTTGTACAAAAATGTGTATGAAACCAATCAGAAAAGATGTCTCAGGGAATCTTTTCTTTTTCATTAGCATCTTAATGAACTGGAAAGAAATTTACTCCATTCAAACTGTGAGAACTCAAATTTTTGCCTATCTTGGCAAGTTTGCACTTATGCATGCCAGTAGCATTAGTACATTACAGCACAGTTATTCTGTCCTTGGGATCCTTAATTCCCACAGGGGCTACCAGTTGTAGTCAGTGTCTTTCTGGGGCAATCATAACAAAGAAGTCTAGGTATAATTCTAGTGTGATTTTTAGACTGTTGTGGCATTAAATATTCATCAGTAATGATCTTTGTAAACTTGTCAATGAATTTCTCTGCTGCTTTATAGTCAGAAGACACTTCATCACCACAAATCTTAAATAGTGTGTCTTTTCTTAAATTTTTGCAATCAGTCTGTTGAATAGTCTTCAATTTTTGGTTTACTGTAATAGATTTTGCCTCATGATCAGTACACTATTATGTAGCATATGTTCACTAAAATGCTGAAGGATCCTCTTTCTGAAGATGCAACTGAGCCCTTCATTTTGAACTTTTTGCAGAATTTTTCTATTTTTCATCATCTTCTGTTCATCACTTTCTGCATAGATCTTCAGCAGTTTAACCTTCTGTGTTTTCAGGTTAAATATAATAGTTATTTGAACACTGTACCCTTCTGTAAAGATGTTCCACACTTACAGTACTATCTAGTTTCTCTAACAGTTTAACTTTCTGTGCTATAGATAAACATAACTGCTTTCTTTCTTTTTACCACTGTTACTCACAGCAGTATCTGTAGATATTTTGTGGGCACTTGTGGGGAAATCTGGTCACGTATGGTAAAGAGATATATAACTGAATGAGGCTGAGAGGGTAATTTTTCCTGGGGACACCAAAATGAACAAACAAACAATGTATTATGTGCCTGTGTTTTGATGTGACCCATCTCATGAAGTCAGGTATAGAATTTTCCACTTATGGCATGTTGGAGTTCAAGACATTTCAGATTTTAAAGCATTTTGGACTACGAATTTCTGGATTAAAGATGCTCAACCTGTATTAAAATTATGTATATTTATGTATTAAAAGCAATGGCTCCCAATAGGAATGATTTAGTTCACAAGAGTACACTTTTGATGTATGCAAACATTTTTGGTTGTCACAACTGGGGACAGGGTAGTCTAATGGCACCTAGTGTGTAGAGTCTGAAAGTAGTTTTAAAGATTCTACAATGCAAAAGGCAGTCCACAAAAAGAAAGGATTATCTGGGTCAAAATGACAATAATGCCAAGGTTGAGAAAGAAAGAAAAAGGAACGAAAAAAAATGGGAGGGAGGGAGGGAGGAAGGAAGGAAGGGAGGGAGGAAGGAAGGAAGGGAGGGAGGAAGGAAAGAGCAAACAAGCAAATTCCTACACATCAATTAGAAAAAGGTAAACAACCAAGTAGGAAAATAGTTAAGCAACATGAACAAGTACTTCATTGAAAAGGAAACACAAATGGCCAAAAAATTATCTTTCTTGTAATTAATCAGAAAAATGCAAAATATCATCAAAATGAGATATAAACTATAACTCTGGATTAACAGAAATGAATAAATGATACAATATGAAATATTATAGCATTGCAGATTAAAAGGAGTATTTACTTATATACTGCTTATATCCAAGTTGAAACCCAAAGAGGAAAAAAATGATAGGAGGGAACAGACAACCTGAGATTTTTGATTCAGTATCAAACAGATGTACATACATGTTACTAGAATCACAGTGGAAATGAGGTCACAAAATTCAAGATAGAGAACTTTGCTAAAGGCTAAACTGATTAAGATCTATATTGATCCCATAAGTCCTTCCACATGCTCTGTTCCATTTATAAAAGGCTTAAGTCCTTAGTGCAACAATTACCTTAAATTCTATAAAAATTGCTTGCCTTGCTTTCTTAAAATAAGTATTATCATTTATTATCTAATTTGAGTTAATTTTTGAATAAGGAATAAGGATTACACATTATTTTATAATTTGAATATGGATATCCAATTATTCCAAAACCATTTGCCAAAAAAACATTTTGCCATTTTTGCTGCTGTGCCAAAAATAAAATAATCATATTTGGGTAAAAATCACAAATTTCTGCCATGTGTACAACCTCTACTTCTTCAGTTCCTTACTCTGTTCCACTGACCTATATAATCATTCTTTCACCAATCTCACAGTTTTTATTAATAAAATTTTATAATAAATTTTTAAATTGATGGCTGGGAGAGTGGTTCAAGTGGTACAGTGCATGTCTGTCAAGCATCAGGCCTTGAGTTGAAGCCCCAGTACCACCAAAAACAAAAAATGTTTTTAAATTGAGGAGGGCAATTCCTCCATTATTTTTCTACATCATACTTCTTTTGGCTAATCTAGTTCCTTGGCCTGCTACAAACTTGTAGAATCTACTTGTCTATGCATACACAAATCATAATGATATTCAAAAAATAATATATGATATATTTTTGAATAATATATACTGTTTTATATCTATCTATCTATCTATCATCTATCTATCTATCTGCATTTGGTAACAGTTGACATATTTAGAAGGTTGTACCTTCCAATTCTTGAAAACAGTATTTCTATTTCTGTTATTTTTCTTTCTTTCATCAGGATTCTGTAGTTTTTACCACATAAATCCTGTATGATTTTTAGTTTCACATCAACACATTTCATTTTTTGGAGCTGACAGATTCTGTGCTGAGCAATGTTTCTTGCAATTCGTGATTTCATTGTGTTTTCTTCTTGCTCTAGTACATGTTTTAGCAGTGATGTTCATGGGGGTTTAGGAGCTTAAACTCTGTATTTTTAAGACTAAAAATTGTCTTTATTTTACCTGACGTAGATAACTTAGCCTAGAAATCTAAGGTGAACATACTTTCCCTCAGAACTTTGAAAATATTCCACTAACATCTAATGATATGGATGAGAAATTTGTTAGCAGCTCAATGACATTTCTTTGAAGGCAGTTCGCCATCTTCTGACAGACTTTGATACTGCCTATTTATCCTTAATATTCTGCAGTTTCACTGTGATGAATCTGGGTATGAATTTAATCTTATTTATTTTCCATCACAATCAGAATTTATCTTCACTTTTGAATCTCATCTTTTATAACACTTTTCCACTACCAACTACTCAATTATCTTTTTCTAGAACTACTGGTAGATTAAGGTATAAACATCTTAATCTACCCTACTATGACTTATTTATTTACTTACTCATTTATTTTGCAGTAGTGGTTTGAACACTGGGCCTTGTGCATGCATGTTCTTTATCTTTGAGCTACACCCTCAAACTTTTTTTTTTTGCTTGTTTTATGTTTTTACATCATCCTGCAATGCACAATGTAGATATTTCTCAGTGACATTTTCTTAAACCTTATAATTGGTTTTGTACTCTGTAATTATACTTTGGAATTGTCTCATAGATTCTGCTTACTGCTTAAAGTACTGTTTTTCAATTATATGTAATTGATTTTCTTTCACATTCAATTTTCATTATTTCACTTGTCAGAATTATTTAATTATTTCTTGATACTTTTTAATGACAATATCACTTCTCCCTATGTTTTTAATATTATCAACATCATTTTTATGGACTTTGCCAGAATCTTCTGTCAGAATCTTTAGTTGAGTAAGCTCATATTCTAAAAATTTATTTGATTTTATTTATACTCCTTGTAGCAGTAAATCTCTTCAGTTTCATGCAAGGTTTTAGAATTTTGGTTTGTGGGGAGAGAGTTTTTAAAAATTTTTCACTTGCTTTTAAAATTTTCTTCCCTTCTCCTATTGGTCTCTCTCCTTCTCTGCATATTTATCTTCTCTCCTGTATTTTAGTTTGTTAGCCTCCATTCTGTCTTCTGGCTTCTCAATTTAGAGTAGGACTTGAAACTACTGCTTGGGGCTACTTACTTTAGGGAGATGGCGTGTCTAATCATGAAGCTAGAAGGTTTGGATAAAGCCTATTACTGTTTGTACAAAGAAGTCTGGATTCATCCTTTGTCAGAAAATGAAATCGAATCCTATAAGGACTGCAATACTGTGTGACCATTCCCCTGTTTTGAGTGGAGCACATGTAGTCTACTATGTGCTAAAGGTGCCAATCCCTGACCCTGCCATTTCCTAACTATTAGCTCAAGGTCACAAGCCTATGGTTTTACCATCTTTTCATTTTTATGCACAAGAATATTCATCTGATGTCTGACATCAGCTATCATTTTAATTTTCTTTTTATAATACATTCATCATTGTTACTTTTTACAGATCAGAAAGCAATCTTTTCACATATTGACCTGAAAGTTCTCCAACATTTTATTCACAACAAATTCTCATACCCAGATGATATGACACAATGATGTTTTTTACAAAGTTCAACTTCTAGTAATTGTAAGAAATAATATGCAACATATAAAATAATCTATAGAGATAGAACAGATAGGTTTCCTGGTTAAATCTTTGTGAGAGACAGGGAGAATTCTCCATCAACTTCTCTCATACAATAGTAATGCATATTTAAAAGCTTGTATTCAAAGCACTGAACTGCACTACATAAATATATACAACTATTACTTGTAAATCGAAAATAAAACAAAAAACTTTGGCAGCCATAGAATTAAATAAGCACATAATAGTACAGAAAACCCTACATCACCTTAAGGCATCCTTCACTGTTGATTTAAAATTAAGTATTTTTGCTGGCTTAAACGTTTCCTGACAGAGGAACCATGAGAATAATAATGGTAAAAAGAGATTCCATCTTCTTCCAGAGGAACTCTTTCATAAATAATCTGTAAGTCATACTTACGGGTAAATGGCTTCATTGATGTTCCCGAATACTTGTCTCCCGATCATTATGATGGTCAACTGCGCTGTCAATTCTATTAGACAACCTCCAGGATCGCACTGGTTGGAAAAAAGGGAGAAAAACAAAGCAAATGATGGAAAATAAAATTTTGCAACAACTAAAACAAACCCTAAACCAAAAGATTAGAAATTCAAGACAGTATATTAATGGGGCATATATTAGTGGGATAGTATATTAAGAGGATTAAAGAGACTGAAAAAGCACAAATTTCTGGGTCTTATCTTAGAAAGTTCCAGACTTTTGTGTCTGGGCTAGGTTGAGAGTTGGTATATTTTCCATATGGTTTGGACAGCACTGAACTTATCTAACTCTTTCTCCAAAAACCCTTTCTCCAGAAAGTTATCATTGATCCTTTGCAGGAAACCTTCAGAATAAAGATCTTTACTTATTTAATATTTCATATTTTACCATCAAACTGTTGGCTCAAAAGAGACCCAAAAGTCACAACAGATGAGAGGATTCATCTGTGTATAGAGTCAGAGTCTAGACGTTACTTGCAAATTGATAATATCTGAGTTAGCAGGAGGCACAAAGGAAGTTCTTGGTTAATACTGAGATACTGAAGTCATAGACCTCACCTCTCAAGAGATTTCTCACCTCTTCACTTCTCCACACATTAAACAAATATGTGTATTTTCCAGGATAGCCCACAAACTTCCCTTTAAAGAAAGCTACATAGAAGCAGGATGAATAAAAATTCACAAACTGGAACAGGAACATTTTCAAAGTCAGACTGCTCTCATACTCCTGGTGAGTTCGAGGAATTTCTGGTAAGTGAAAAAAAAAATACATCAAAGTGTAATGCGTTTTCCTTGAAATTTGTACTTACTGGGAAATGCAGATTTCTATTCATATAATTTTGAAAACCTATAGAACTGCTCTCCTATAGAACTGTATATACTGTGGTCATACAAACCAGTATTGGATAACTATGGACTTAAATAGGCTTTCTGTTGAATACTCTGTTTTACTCTAACCACTGAGGAAATTTACGAAGTAGTCATTGTCACATTCAGGGGGTGCTATACTTCTCTGGGCAGGGAGAGGATCACACAGCCAAATGTGGAATTCCAATCCCTATAAGATGGAAGAACTTTATGCTGTATCATCCCCAGATACTATATGTTGATATCCCATAAACATATCTTCTTTGTCTCTTTCCAATCAAGTTTAAACAAGAATATATCAAGGGTTGAGATGATTTCCAAGTGAATTGTACTTTCTTCCATGAATTGAAATGTTGTATCAATTTTGAAAACAATGTGACAGTGGGTCCTGGCAGAAATAGTGACATTCTCATTCTCCTTCATGCACAATGTGTGATCATGATCATGATTTGTCATTCACAAATTCCAAGGATAAAAATGTTAAATTTTCTTCACACCACACAAGACCATTATTAACCATAAGAAAGGGAGCATGGTTTTCTAAACTGATAATCTCTCAAAACTATAAGCAATCCAGTTAAATTTATGACACTTTTAGAAATGCTGAAATAGCAACAAATTCTTCTAAAGACATAGACAGCTAAGATCCTGCATTTTAGTGAAGTTCACTTGCATTCCTAAAACTCTCTAATGTTAACTCCAGTGCTTTTCTCACTGAAGAAAGCTGTGACTTTTTAGGTGTTTTTTTTTTTTTATTCATATGTGCATACAATGTTTGGGTCATTTCTCCCCCCTCCCCCCTCTTACCCTCCCGCCCGCTCCCTCTCCCCTCAACCCCCTCACTACCCAGCAGAAACTATTTTGCCCTTATCTCTAATTTTGTTGTAGAGAGAGTAAAACAATAATAGGAAGGACCAAGGGTTTTTGCCAGTTAAGATAAGGATATCTATACAGGGAGTTGACTCGCATTGATTTCTTGTGCGTGTGTGTTACCTTCTAGGTTAATTCTTCTTGATCTAACCTTTCTCTAGTTCCTGGTCCCCTTCTCCTATTGGCCTCAGTTGCTTTAAAGTATCTGCTTTAGTTTCTCTGCATTGAGGGCAACAAATGCTACCTAGTTTTTTAGGTGTCTTACCTATCCTCATACCTCCCTTGTGTGCTCTTGCTTTTATCACGAATCAAAGTTCAATCCCCTTGTTGTGTTTGCCCTTGATCTAATGTCCGCATATGAAGGAGAACATACGATTTTTGGTCTTTTGGGCTAGGCTAACCTCACTCAGAATGATGTTCTCCAATTCCATCCATTTACCAGCGAATGATAACATTTCATTCTTCTTCATGGCTGCATAAAATTCCATCATGTATAGATACCAGATTAATTCATCAGTAGTGGGGTATCTTGGCTGTTTCCATAACTTGGCTATTGTGAATAGTGCTGCAATAAACCTGGGTGTGCGGGTGCCTCTGGAGTAACCTGTGTCACAGTCTTTTGGGTATATCCCCAAGAGTGGTATTGCTGGATCATATGGTAGATCAATGTTTAGCTTTTTAAGTAGCCTCCAAATTTTTTTCCAGAGTGGTTCTCCCACCAGCAGTGTAAGAGGGTTCCTTTTTCCCAGATCCTCACCAACACCTGTTTTTAGTGGTGCTGCTAAAGATGGCTATTCTAACAGGGGTGAGGTGGAATCTTAGCGTGGTTTTAATTTGCATTTCCTTTATTGCTAGAGATGGTGAGAATTTTTTCATGTGTTTTTTGGCCATTTGAATTTCTTCTTTTGAGAAAGTTCTGTTTAGTTCACTTGCCCATTTCTTTATTGGTTCATTAATTTTGGGAGAATTTAGATTTTTAAGTTCCCTATATATTCTGGTTATTAGTTCTTTGTCTGATGTGTAGCTGGCAAATATTTTCTCCCACTCTGTGAGTGTTCTCTTCAGTTTAGAGACCATTTCTTTTGTTGAGCAGAAGCTTTTTAGTTTTATGAAGTCCCATTTATCTATGCTATCTCTTAGTTGCTGAGCTGCTGGGGTTCCATTGAGAAAGTTCTTACCTATACCTACTAACTCCAGAGTATTTCCTACTCTTTCCTGTATCAACTTTAGAGTTTGTGGTCTGATATTAAGATCCTTGATCCATTTTGAGTTAATATTGGTATAGAGTGATATACATGGATCTAGTTTCAGTTTTTTGCAGACTGCTAACCAGTTTTCCCAGCAGTTTTTGTTGAAGAGGCTGTCATTTCTCCATTGTATATTTTTAGCGCCTTTGTCAAAGACAAGTTGGTTATAGTTGTGTGGCTTCATATCTGGGTCCTCTATTCTGTTCCACTGGTCTTCATGTCTGTTTTTGTGCCAGTACCATGCTGTTTTTATTGTTATTGCTTTGTAATATAGTTTGAAGTCAGGTATCCTGATACCTCCAGTATTGTTCTTTTGAACAATTTTTTTGCCTTGGCTATTCGCGGCCTCTTGTGTTTCCACATAAATTTAATGGTAGATTTTTCAATCTCTTTAATGAATGTCATTGGAATTTTGATGGGAATTGCATTAAACATGTAGATTACTTTTGGGAGTATAGACATTTTTACTATGTTGATTCTACCAATCCATGAGCATGGGAGATCTCTCCACTTTCTATAGTCTTCCTCAATCTCTTTCTTCAGAAGTTTATAGTTTTCCTTGTAGAGGTCAGTCACATCCTTTGTTAGGTTTACACTAGGTATTTGATTTTTTTTGAGGCTATTGTAAATGGAATTGTTTTCATATATTCTTTTCAGTTTGTTCATTATTAGTGTATAGAAATGCTAATGATTTTTCTATGTTGATTTTATATCCTGCTACTTGCTATAGCTATTGATGGTGTCTAGAGCTTCTGAGTAGAGTTTTTTGGTCTTTAAGGTATAGGATCATGTCATTGCAAATAGGGATATTTTGACAGTTTCTTTACCTATTTGTATTCCTTTTATTCCTTCTTCTTGCCTAATTGCTCTGGCTAGGAATTCCAGTACTATGTTGAATAGGAGTGGAGATAGGGCATCCTTGTCTAGTTCCTGATTTTAGAGGGAATGGTTTCAGTTTTTCTCCATTAAGTATAATGCTGGCTGTAGGTTTGTCATATATAGCTTTTATATGTTGAGGTACTTTCCTTCTATTCCTAGTTTTCTTAGAGCTTTTATCATGAAATGGTGTTGGATCTTATCAAAGGCTTTTTCTGCATCTATTGAGATGATCAAGTGGTTTTTGTCTTTGCTTCTGTTAATGTGGTTTATTACATTTATTGATTTTGTATGTTGAACCACCCCTGCATTCCTGGATGAAGCCTACTTGGTCGTGGTGAATGATCTTTTTGATGTGTTGTTGAATTCGGTTTGCCATTATTTTTGAGGATTTTTGCATCAATGTTCATTAAGGAGATTGGCCTATAGTTCTCCTTTTTGGAGGTGTCTTTGCCTGGTTTTGGGATAAGTGTAATACTGGCTTCATAAAATGTGTTTGGCAGTTTTCCTTCCCTTTCTATTTCATGGAACAGTTTAAGGGGGTTTGGTATCAGTTCTTCTTTAAAGGTCTGATAGAATTCAGCAGAGAATCCATCAGGTCCTGGACTTTTCTTTTTGGGGAGACTCTTGATTGCTGCTTCAATTTCATTTTGTGTTATAGATCTATTCAGGTGATTAATATCCTCTTGGTTCAGTTTTGGATGATCATATATATCTAGAAATCTGTCCATTTCTTTAAGATTTTCAAATTTATTTGAATATAGGTTCTTGAAGTAGTCTCTGATGATTTCCTGGACTTCCATGGTGTTTGTTGTTATCTCCCCTTTTGCATCCTGATTCTACTAATTTGGGTTTTTTTCTCTCCTCATTTTAGTCAGGTTTGCCAGGGGTCTGTCAATCTTGTTTATTTTTTCAAAGAACCAACTTTTTGTTTCATTAAATCTTTGTATGGTTTTTTAGGTTTCTATTTCATTGATTTTAGCTCTTATTTTTATTATTTCTCTCCTTCTATTTGTTTTGGGATTTGCTTGTTCTTGTTTTTCTAGGAGTTTGAGATGTATCATTAGGTCATTGATTTGGGATCTTTCAGTCTTTTTAATATATGCACTCATGGCTATAAACTTTCCTCTCAGGACTGGCTTTGCTGTGTCCCATAGGTTCTGGTAGGTTGTGTTTCATTTTCATTGACTTCCAGGAACTTTTTAATTTCGTCTTTTATTTCATCAATGACCCATTGTTCATTCAGTAAGGAGTTATTCAGTTTTCAGCTGTTTGCATGTTTTTTGTGTTTACTTTTGTTGTTGAGTTCTAGTTTTACTGCATTGTGATCAGATAGAATGCATGGAATAATTTCTATTTTCTTATATTTTCTGAGGTTTGTTTTGTGCCCCAAGATATGATCTACTTTGGAGAAGGTTCCATGGGCTGCTGAGAAGTATGTATATTGTGTAGAAGTTGGATGAAATGTTCTGTAGACATCAAGTAGGTCCATTTGATCTATTGTATATTTTAGATCAAGGATTTCTTTATTGATTTTTTGTTTGGATGACCTATCTATTGATGATAATGGGGTGTTAAAGCCTCCCACGACCACTGTGTTGGAGTTAATATATGCTTTTAGGTCTTTCAGAAATTGGGTGTGTTGACATTTGATGCATATAGGTTGATAATTGTTATTTCCTTTTGGTATTTCCCCTTTTATTAGTATGGAATGTCCTTCTTTGTCTCATTTGATCAATGTAGGTTTGAAGTCTACTTTGTCAGAGATAAGTATTGCTTCTCCTGCCTGTTTTTGGGGGCCATTGGCTTGGTAAATCTTCTTCCAGCCTTTCATCCTAAGCCTATGCTTATTTCTGTCAGTGAGATGAGTCTCCTGTAAGCAACAAATTGTGGGATCTTCCTTTTTAATCCAGTTCATCAAACAGTGCCTTTTGATGGGGGAATTAAGTCCATTAACATTAAGTGTTAGTACTGATAGGTATGTGGTGATACCTGTCATTTAGTTGTATTAGTTGTTTGAAGGTTTGATTGTGTGTACCTAAGTTGAGGTTACTCTCTACTTTCTTGATTTTTCTTTTCCTGTATTTTGGTGCTGCCTGCCCTTTCATGGTTATGTTGGGTTTCACTTTCTGTGTGCAGAAGCCCTTGAAGAATCTTTTCTAGTGGTGGCTTTGTGGTTACATATTGTTTTAGTTTCTGCTTATCATAGAAGACTTTTATTGCTCCATCTATTTTGAGTTATAGTTTTGCTGGGTAGAGTATCCTGAGGTTGAAGTTATTTTCATTCAGTGTCCGGAAGACCTGACTCCATGCTCTTCTTGCTTTTAATGTTTCTGTTGAGAAGTCAGCTGTGATTTTGATGGGTTTTCCTTTGTATGTTGCTTGTTTTTTCTCTCTTACAGCCTTCAATATTCTTTCCCTAGTTTCTGCACTTGTTGTTTTAATGATGATATGTCATGGTATAGTTCTATTTTGATCTGGTCTGTTTGGTGTTCTATAGGCCTCTTGCGTCTCTATGGGAATATCTTTCTCTAGATTTGGGAAATTTTCTGTTATTATTTTGTTGAATATAATACGCATTCCCTTTGCTTGCACCTCTTCTCCTTCCTCAATGCCCATGATTCTCAAGTTTGGTCTTCTGATGAAGTCGGTGAGTTCTTCCATTTTCTTTTCACAGGTCTTGAGTTGTTTAATTAATAGTTTTCAGTTTTTCGTTTAATTACCATTTCATCTTCAAGTTCTAAGGTTCTGTCTTCTGTTTGTTCTATTCTGCTGGATTGGCCTTCCATTTTGTTTTGCAATTCTGTTTTGTTCTTTTGTCTGAGGTTTTCCATATCCTGAGTCATTTCCTCTGTAATGTTGTCTGTTTTTGTCCTGAGTTCATTTATCTCTTTATTAATCGTGTTCTTTGTTTCTTTTTGGTGTTTATACAGTGCTTCTATGGTTTCTTTTATTTCTTCTTATGCTTTTTCAAATTCGTATTTTTGTTGTCTTGAAGTTTCTTGAGTGTCTCCTGTACATTTTGGTTGACCATATCCAGTATCATCTCTATAAAATTCTCATTGATTACCTGTAGTATTTCTTCTTTTAGATTGTTCTTGTGGGCTTCCTTGGGTTCTTTGGCATAGTTTATCTTCATTTTTTTGGAGTCTGGATCTGAGTATCTGTTTTCTTCATTTCCTTCTGGTTCCTGTACTAATTTTTTGCTGTGGGGAAACTGGTTTCCCTGTTTTTTCTGTCTTCCCGTCATTTCATTTGGTGTTGTTATTGTCCCTGCACTGTGTGCAATTAAGTATTTTCTAGCTTGTAATAATAACAATGGTGATATTTAGAATGGAAGGATGAGAGGAGATGGAAAGCAAAGAAGTTAAAGAAAAAGGGAAAAACAAATAAAGAAGTAGAAAAAACCAAAAGAAACAAACAACAAAAAAGTTTCAAAGATATAAAGAGGGAGAGATAGTGCACTAATCAACAGTAAGCTGAATAGGCATTAGAGAGACAGAGAGAGGATTGAAAACAAAAAATGAAAAAATATAAATAAAAATAAAAAAAAAAATTTTAAAAAATTTAAAAATATATATAAAAAGAAATCTCCAAGTTCAAATGCAATAAAGTTTCAGTCTTAATAATGTGGTGTTTGTCCTTCAGCCTCCGATCCTGGAGATGGTGTCTCAGAAGTAGTTCTGTCATTGTCTCATCAAAGGTGAAAAAAACTAGACAAAACAAAACAAAATAGCACAAAACAAAAAGAAACCAACAAAGTGTCCAAAATTCAAATGCAATACAGTTTCAGTAAGTTTTTCAGCATGTAGGTGTAGTTCAGTTGTTGTCTCATCAATGGTAGGGAGAGAAAAAAAAGTCTGTAGACAGTTCTGTGAATGTCTATCTGAGGCTGTGGCTTGCCTGCCCACTGCTGTCAGCCTGATGTTGCTGGAGGCTTATTTATGCAGATCTCAGGAGTGAGCTTAACACTTACCTAGCCCCTCAGGCTTTGTTTACTCAGAGTTCTGTGCACCAGCCTGTGCTACAGGCTTTCCCCTTTCCAAGCACACTGAGGTAGGTGACACTGCACCAGCTTTCTCAGGCCTTCGTGTTTATTTACCGTTCATATGGGAAGTGGGTCTTCCCCCCTCTCCTGTGGAGTTTTCCTCCCACTGCCACTTTTAGAAGCTTTCCCTCTCCTGGTTGCTGAGTGTGTGCTGCCACTCCTGCCTTCTCCAGCCGACTTGTTTATTTACAGTTCTGTGAGGGATTCCCCTCCAGCATTCAGGGTCCCTTGCCCTCTTTGCTATGTGTCTTTTTTGTTGTTATTGTGTATTATTCCATTTCTCTTTTTTCCCTGGGTGGGGGTCAGTCTGTCCAGGGGGCTATGCTGATCTGGCCCAGGATTGTCTGTGGCAGTACCGCATACCGTTTAGCTCACCTTGTGGTCTGCATCTTCCCAAGCCATCTGGGTGCTGGTGTCTGGAGGTGGTGTGGGAGCCCTCCTGGTTTCTCCGTTTAATGTGAAGTGGAGATGCTATGCGCAGAGTGGAGCTGTGAAGGAGTCAAAGTTTTGCCTCTTCTCGGTGGTTTTTCCTGTAAGGTGTATCTCCAGTGTCTCTCCAAGATTTTACTTTAGGAGGCACGCTTTCTGCTTCCTCCCTCTAGCCACCATCTTGGAATCTCTCTGTACGAATCTTTCTAAGTGCTACAATCTCCAGGTACTTTAAAAACCTACACTAACCTATAACTCCAGGCTGACTTTGCTGTGATGTTGTAGGCTGCTGCAGTCCCTGGTCAGAAGATTTCCAAATTCTTTGTGCCCTACATGGAGGCATCCAGGCAGGTGGGTGTGGTAAGGGAGGAAATGGAGTTTACTAAAGCTTAAGAAAAGCAGTTACTAAAGAACATTGTGGGACCAAGTGGAAGCTGGAAGCAGAGAGTTTTTAGGTGTTTTAAACACAGTTTGTTTGCTGTGATTTTCTTGCTGTAAAATTGAAAGAGAACTTAAAATTCAAAGATGCTGTGTAAGGAAAGCCACCTGACCTGCCAGGGCTCTTCAGTCTAGTACTCTTTCTGCCTACCTGAGACATGGTGTCAGTGTTGAATGCCCTGCTTTATCTGTAATCCCTTAACCTTCCTTCAGGGCTTCAGGAGGAATTTTAATACTTTAACAAGAAAACAATCCAGGTTGTAAGGGTTGGCAACCAAAGAGAAAAGCAGTAAGGTTTAGACAAAAATATTTAGGAGAAGCTGATATTCTGTTTTTTGTAATGATGGTTTCCAAAACCAAACACCTTTGAAGAACCATACACAGGAAATCATTTTATCTGTGTCTTGAGAATAGTGGGCACTTTATTCAGTATTTAACTCTATCCATCAAGGGAGGATTAAGACATGAATACCCAAAATGATGTGAAGAGTCTTAATTCCTTTTGTCAGTTCTCCTTCCTGCTTCCATTATGGCAGACCTAACTGTGGTTATAAGAATTCCCTAACAGGGGTTTGGATCAAACTAGAAAATGGAACTGCCTTAAAATGTGCCATAGGAAATGAACTCCCTAGGATATGACCCAAAATGGATATATTGCATTGGTAGGAACCTGTACACAAACCACACTAATGATTTGGCCAGCTTACCCATTTTAGTAATCCAGGCAGATATTTTTTCATAAAAAAAATTCAACATCAAGATGACCATAAAGTTCAAGCATGATCCAGTGAGTGATGTGGCTAACTGGGGAGTAAAGATGCTCTTGACTTGCTTTAAGGATGCTTCACTTTCCATGAAGCTAGCAAATGTAGCAAAGACTGACAGGCGGTACACAATTACAGCTACCATACTGCTGATAACAAGAGCCATCTGGGAAAGAGAAAAAAGAACTGGTCACACTGGTCTCTGTGTCCTGTGATGCATACATATCAAAGCACATACTATTTCTTCATCTTATTATATTAAGTTTAGCAGCACTCATATGCAAAGCACATTGAGTCAGCTTCTCTTACCATAGATGGCAGGAAATAAACACTGGCAAAGTAAAAAGGGATTAAATATAAATCATTTGGTAGCAGTTGATTAAATATAATATAGGAAAAATATGCATTGCTCATCCTGTAGCCTTATTTTCTACCAGGGTTTGGGAAAAGAACCAGAAGGCCAAATCCTACCCATGGCCTTGTCTGTCCTTACACGTCTCTTAAGTTACTTGCGTTTTTTGAATTTTTAAAGGTTTTAAGGAAAAATAAAGACAATTGTGTGTAAGAGACTCTATGTGGCTACAAAACCCAAAATACATCTGGTTCCTTTACACAACAACTTAGAACTCATGTTCTAGGTTATAATTACATAGAATCTGTGTTACTTCCTATATGGTGAAAACACAATGATGGTTTTATATCAAAGATTGCAGATATTTATCCTAAAAGTTAAGGACATAAGTAAAATTTTATTAGAACCAGAAAACCAAAGCAGAATAATCTTTCTGGGGCCATGCTCCAGATTGTTTCACAAAGACTGTCTTAAATGAATTATTACTAATTAATTATTCCATCATTTCTACAATTTCTCCATGAGGTTGTTATATAATTTAAGAAAACGTATTTCTGGTAAGTCTTTTAAGATATAAAAATAATAGCTTTAACAAATAATGTTGCAAGATAAAAGATAGTTTATGTGTACTGAGGGGGTTAACTTATAGTTTACAATTGTTTATTTATACTCCATAGAATTACCCCCAGAAGCTAGCAGCCCCTCTTTACCAACCGAGATGACAGAAGTGTTTGGAAATGAAATACACTATGGCTGTGGAGAAATCTAGTAACTGAAATACACAGACAAAAGCTGGCTTCCCACAGGGAGCTAAATTTTTCAAGTTCAAGAAGAAACATCTTATTGTTTATTTCAGCAAGAGAAGGAAAAGCAATAGTTGCTTATTCATTTTGCATGTTCATTTTAAGTGGACAAAAAGATATATTAATAAAACAAACCAGAGTCTGTAATCAAAATAAGTTTGCTCTATTCTGGTTTCAAATGATCACTTAATGAAGGGTTGTGAGTGAACAGGAACAGACTGTAAGATAAAGCACTTCTCTCTTCACTTAGATCTTTCCCCAAAGTTCAATTACGGAAAATTCATATAAATTACACTTTGTTTTGCCTAAGAGATGGAACCAAAATAAAAAGTGATTGCAGAGGGAGGAAGCAGGAGAGATCCAAGAACCATGACAGATGAAACTTGAGATGACCACATATGGTTGCCTGAAAAAGAAATAATAATGGGTTTTCAAGAATTGCTCACCCATAATGTCACTGTGGCTCCTGATAAAAAGTACCATGGAATACGAGCATATAGAGGCATGAAAGGTTCCATTTCCTGTAATGTTGAAGAAATCACATCATAATTCAAAATCTGGCCTCACATTTGAGATTCCAAGCATTAGTGAAAGATTCCAAAAGCATAAAGTAGAAACTTCCCACAAAGGGCTCCCTGTATAGCACATGGAAAGTTACAATCTAGCAATGGTTCTTTCCCTTTGAATAAAGAACAATAGGCCTCCAAAATGAGGTACTTTACTGGTATTTAAAAGTATATAATGGATGGGCACTATTTCCTGAGTTCAAATTAAAGTGGTATTTAGTACCTGATAGAGAGAAGACAAAGTCAAAATCTCACCATTGCTGCGTAAGTGGACCTGACTTAATGATTTTACAATTTTATCCCAACTGGAGTGAAACAATAGCATTGCTCTCTAATTTTTCTGCATGATATTAACTTGAACATGCTCTTCGTATTTATGGGATAAACTGTGTTCCTGCACATAATTCAACAGTTCAGACTTTTCTATCTTCAGGCTTTAAAGTCATTAATGCAAGTTATCAATTATGTCAACTAACATTCTGAGCTACACCAAAAGATAGGTAGATTTTATTAAAGGAGACTACTACACATTAAAAAATAGCTGTCAAGAGAAATGTACATCAGCAATTCTATAAAATATAACATTTCACATTTTATGGATTTTCAGGGTGGACCGAAGGCAAACACAGAACATTCAGTGGGCAGAGTAAGCCATCTAAGAGCTATACAGAACCCAAGAGTACATGTGAATGTGTGCATTTATGTCACTTGCTTTACTGTGTTCAAGTGTGTGCATCATATATGTGTGTGTCAGTGCATGTTTGTGGATATTTGTTTGTGCACTGTGTGTATTCATACATGTGTGTATTGCAAATGCAGACCCAATTATGAGAGTTCTGTTTTGGCTTAAACATAAAAATAGCACTTTGAGTAAGCAAGAAGTGTCCTGATTTCAAAACCATTAAAGCCAAGTGAGATGAAATGAATACTCAGTGAATCAATGTACAGTGCATTTCAACTAGTTCTGAATGTAAACACTTGATTCATCTTTAGTTTTCTTTGTTACTTTTTAGCAAAACCAATAAACTTGCTTGTTTTTAAAAATTATACCATGAAAGAGGAATAAATAAACATCATGTCATTATTCTACTAATACTTTTTCTTAATTTTAAGCTAATATTCAAATTGTGGGTGTATTTTCTAAGGTGTTTTTTTCTCCTTTATTCATTGGCCAAATTTTTTGATGTTTCAGTGAAATTTAAAAAATGTTTGGTGAATGTCTAAACTGTGAAAAGAATTTTTGAGTATTATTTGCTATTGTGACCTAAGCAGAGGAGGGGGTGTACTAGTGTTTGCACTGAAGACATGTCCTACTCTCTTTTCAATAAAATCAGAAAACATGATTATAGATTAAGGAAAAATAGGGACTCTGAGAAGATGAAAACAATCTTCTGGTCATTGAAGGTAAAGTCCCTTCCACATTCACATGAAAAAAGTGAGGTATCAAGAGGTTAAGTGACTCAATCAAGAACAGACAGTCAATTTTCCAGTTAGTTCTAAAAGCTAGACCTCCACCCCCAATGCAGGTATCAGTGTAATGACTGTCCTATTATAATCAATCAAAAAGCACTACATGAAGAAAATCTAGTCTAATAAAATATTCACTCATAAGCTCAGTACTCTTAATTTCACATATTATAATATTATCATTTCCAGTTCTCTATACTTACAGATAAACAAAGCCCATAGCATGCAAGCATTCTCCATTTTCCTTTTCCTCACCTAATATTAAAACTACATATTTAATGTTGTAGTTGGATTTGCTTTAAAATAATCTAGTGGCAGAAAGATGTGGGGTTATAAGTGAAAAACATTGTTTGTGAATTAAAATCAACTAGTATTAGATAATAGATCCATCCATGAGTTTATTATAGTTTTCTTTTTGTGTGTTTGAAAATTGTCATATATGTATATTCATATAAATATATTTATATTCATTATATATTTATATATTTATATTATATATATAAATATATTTATATGAATATTCACAATATATATGAATATACAGAAATAAGTGGTTTATATAATTGACATGTTGGGAATACTTTAAAGGCAAGTTAAAATAAACATCATTATTTGAGAGGCAGCCTACAGCAGAGTGTCCATAGAGACAAGCTGCCTGATGTACCTTTGTCACTGGATTCATTTTCTTGTGTTTACACATAGCTTCAAATTCAGGTCTCAGCTGAAGCTGCTGCTGCTCCTCTTCAAAGTCCACCAGATCCCATTCATATTCCAGTCTGGCCTGTCGCTGTTTCCAAAACTCCAAAAACAATGTGACTATAAATGAAGAAGTGTAGTAAAATAAATAATCAAGAAATGGAGAAACAAAGCTAATAAGAAAATAACTTTCTCCTACTTAATTTTTAGTCATTTTGGTTGAAAGGTGGTTCACAATTTTCAGGTGGCTCTTCTGTCACTTTTTTGTTTTTTCCTGGTTCTGGGGCTTGGACTCAGGGCTTACACCTTAAGCCACTCCACCAGCCTTTTTTTGTGAAGGGTTTTTCAAGATAGGGTCTCTCAAACTATTTGCCTAGGCTGGCTTCAAACCACGATCCTCCAGATTTCTGCTTCCTGAGTAGCTAGGATTACAGGTTTGAGCTACTGGTACCTGGCTTTTGTCACTGTTTGATGATGAAATGATCAGTTATGAATGATGGTATTACATTATATAATAACATTTAAATAACTCATTTATGAAAATTTAAGCTCATTTCTTAAAGGAAAAAATTTTCAGACATGTTACACTGTTTCTTCATTCAAATAATTTGATGTGATATTTAAACTTTATATTTTATTTAACACTAGCATTTTTGCATATGTTTTACTGAAAGCATTCAAGTCAATACACCATTTTTCAAGGTTAGAGAAATGGTAATTATGGAAGTATATTTAAAGAAAACTTAAGAGTTATTTCCCAGCATAAATCCTCAGTATCTATCTCTCTCTGTCTAGAGATATACATTGATAGATATTTTTAGATAATTTATGTAGAGAGATCTATCTATTTATGCAGAGAGATCTGTCTATCTATCAATCTATCTATCATCTATCTACCTATCTATGTACATGTTGATTACATATGCTAAAATATGTGGAAAAAGAGATTGCTAGATATGTGTTTAGTTTTCAATTAAAGACAAAATATTCACATAAAAGTACACAAAATATAAGTGGACTTTTATCAGAATTTTTATAAAAAACACAACCGTGTATCCGCACCAATACAAAAAAGAAACCTCACAATAGAACATGGTCAAAACCTGAGACACTCTCCCTAAGACTCTTCTGAGACAGTGCAGTAACTAGTACCCTGGCTCCTAACATTTTAGGGCACTTTTGTCTGTCTTTGCACTTTTATGTGAATGATAACGTACAGCCAACAGTTCTTTGTGTGAAGCTTCTTTTTATTTGGTCTGACTTTGCTGCCATGAATAGCAAACTTCATTAATATTTCCACTGCTGCACAGTATACCATTGTGTGATTAAATCACACTTTTGTCTGTTCTTGGTTTGATGAACATTGGAGGGGTTTATTTTTGGTATTGCCAATAGTTCTCCTTTAAACATTCTTGTATGTATCCTCTGGAAGACATATACATGCCTTTCTATTGGTTATATATCTAGGAATAAAATTCTTTGACAAAAATCACCTTACTATTTTACCACCTATGAAAGATTGAACATTTAAATTTTCCTATGGCTCACTCTATACATCTTCTTTTTTATAACAGTAGTGGGTTTGAACTCAGGGACTTGAATTTGACAGGCAAGTGCTCTACCACTTGAACCATGCCCCAAGCCCTTTTTACTTTTGTTATTTTTTGATCCTGCTATTTAAGCTTCCCACATAACTGGAATGATAGTCTTACCTCACCACACTCAGTTTTTTATTGATTAAGATGGGGTCTCATGTACAAATTTTTGCCTGGGCTGGTCTCAAACCCTGATCTTCCTGATCTCTGCCTCCCAAGTGGCTAGGATTATAGGTGTTCAGCCACCACCCAGCCATCCTCTATTTTTTAAATAATTATAAGGAACTATGTATTCTACATTTTAAAAGTCCTTATTGTATCTTTTTAAAGTCTCATTATATTCATCTAACTGCTCTCTCTGCCTCTGCTATATGTCCTTTCCGATGCACATGTATCAGTCACCTGAATGCTAGTTTTTGTTTATTTGCTCATGTATACATTTGTTCATATTCTCTTTTGCTAACTTAAGAACTTATTTTATTATGGCAAGAAAATTAACTAAGACTTATCCTCAACTAGTTGTAAATGTACAACTCATTATTTTAACTGTAGGCACAGTGTTGTATATATCTCTAGAGACTCTTCATATATCTGAACTGAAACCTCATGTCCATCGATTAGTATTCCCCATTTCCTCATCCCCCAGTCCCAGGCAACCATCATTGCACTCTTGGACTCTATGAATTTGGCTGATTTCACTACTTCACATAAGTTGGAAGTATGCAGTATTTATCTTTGTGTAGATGAGTTTTTCCCCTCTTTACTGGGACTAATGTCTTCAAGTTGTTTTATCTATGTAACTTGTACAATATTGTAGTATTTCCTTCTTTTTAAGGCTTAATCATATTCCATTTTGTGTGTGTATCTCACAAATTTTTTATCCATTCATCTGTTAATGGACATTTAAGTTTTTTCCACATCTTGCTATTATTAGTAGTGCTGCAATAAACACAGGAGTTGCAATATGTCTTTAAGATTCTGATTCCAATTCTTCTGGATAAATACTAAGAAGTAAGTTTAATGAATCACATAGTAGTTCTATTTTTAATTTTTGATGATCCTCCATCATCTTCCATAGTGATTGTAGCATTTTGCTTTCTTATCAATTGTATGAAAGTGTTGCAATTTATCCATGCTTTTACCAAGATCTGAGTTTAACATTAACATAGCCATCTTGAGAGGTGTGAAGTTATAGCTCACTGAGGTTTTAGTTGTCATTTTCCTGACAGTTAGTGACACTGGGCACTTTTCATGTATGTGTTGGACATTTGTATGTCTTCTTTGAAGAAATGTCTATTCATGTGCTCTGTCCTTTTTAAAAACAGTTTGTTAAGGTCATTTTAAATTTTTTTTCTTCACAGTACTGAGTGAAGAGAGGTCCTTATGTAGTTTAGATGTAATCCCTTATCAGATTAATACTTGGCAACTTTCTTCCCATTCCACAGGTTTCAGCCTCATTATCTTCTTTTCCTTTGCTGTGCCCAAGTTCATGCTTATTTATTTTTGTTGTTTATGCATTTTGTGCTATACCATGAAATAACTGCTTATAGCAGTGTCATAAAGCTATCCTCCCATGTTTTGTCCTAGAAGTTTTACAAAGTTTCAGGTCTTCCATTTAACTCTTTAATTCATTTTGAGCTGATTTTTTGTTATGGTGAAGATAAGGGTCCAATTTCATTCTTACATGTGAATATCCAGGTTTACTAACACCATTTTTTAGTAAAAAAAAATCTCAATATCACTTTCTCTTTGTCTATTCTTAAAACTCTTGTTGAAAGTCAGTTAACTATATATGTGTGAGTTTACTTCTGGACTGTGTGTTCAATTGGTCTTTATGTGTGCATTCATGCCATGACCATAGTTTTCATTTCTGTACCTTTGTAATATATTTTGAAATCTAGGAATGCAGTCTCTTTAGAGAGCACACGTTAGTTGATCTTGCCACAAAATGACACTTTACATAGGAAACACATGAAACAAGAAAAGTCATAAAGGAAAGTTTTATGACTTGTTTGCATATTAAAACTTTTACTGACTATGTAAAGTCTAATGTAAATGACAAATTTTAAAAATACCTACAATTTCTGTGGCAAAGGGTTTCTGTGTTTATTTTACAAATGTTCATGTGAAGTACAGAAATCAAAAACTTCAAAAAGCAAGAGATCCAATGATCAGTAAATATTAGGATTTATGATCAAGTTATTGCAGATTAAAAACCTATATAATGGATAACATCCCATTCATCAAATTGTAAATACCAAAAAATAATTGTCATTCCCCAGGCTTATCCAGGGTAGCATGCTGGTGGAAATCCAGATTGATGCAACCTTTACTGAAAGCATAGAAATATGCACCAAAGCTTTAAAATTGTAAATGCAGTATTCCCTCAGAAATTACCTACTAAGAATTTAGTCTTGGGATATAGTTGTACAATCATAAGCTGATGATTATTTCAGCATTATTTCTAATGCTAAAAAAGTGGCAGTGACTTAAGCACCCCAAAATAGAGATATGGTTAGATAAAAAGTGATAAATTCATAAAAGGCAATTCCATTCAGTCATAAACACAGATTTCTTTTTTTTTTTCATTTTTCTTTTATTATTCATATGTGCATACAAGGCTTGATAAACACAGATTTCTGTAGGCACATAGAAACACACACACACACACACACACACACACACATCCTCTACTTATTCATGAATATGGAAGAAGGCCTATTATTTCACTATTGAATAAAATAATTGTAGAATTAAACCTGTGTAGAATATTCTGTTATTTATGTAAAGTCAGCCCTACATGCAGAGTGAAAGGTTCTGAAAAATCATTGTCAAAAAAGCAATCATATTTTAAGTAATTTAAAAAATTTTCCCACTTCTATGTATCACTTGAATTTCCTGTTAAGGTTATGTACTTTCATTGTAAGCAAAACAAAAATGTAAAAGAAACGTGCTTCCTATTTTCTACTATAGAGCATACTATTCTTTCTTTCCAGGCCTCAACCCCTGGGACTAGTGTTAGTCACATAGCCAGGATTGTCTTTTCTTCACATCTACTCTGACATCATTTCATTCAGCTTAAAACTTATAACAAGTTGTGCTACAGTAAACATCCTTGAACTTCTGTTTTCACAGAATTTGGCCAAGATCTACAGAGCCAATAGTATATCAATTGGTTGCAATAAACTTTTCTGAAAGAAATAACTGATATTGGCATCTCTTCAAAATGTTCATTTTATGGTGCAGCTGGGTATCTCATATGTGGCTGGTCCTTTATTTGTGATGAAGTATAAGGCATTGTGGCATACAATCTCTCTCAATGGAAATAACTGAGAATGCTTACATTTGTCTGCACGTAATGTCAGAGACAGGATTTTGAAGCTTTATAATAAGTATTTATGCTTAGTCTCTGCTGAATTAAGCACTTATTGAGTCTGTTTTACTATGGCACTGGGAGACAGTAGAAGTCTAATAGGTTTGATATTTCAAAATGTATTAATTCTTAAAGAAATGAGCAGATGTTCAATACAGGTCTTTATGGACCAAGGACTAGGGCACTGACTCCATCAGTGTATTGATGCTAACAAAGACACAATGCTCTAAAATTATCTTTAGTCTGTGAGATATGCCATTCTGTATATGCTATATAATGAAGCCAGATAACATTTCATGTGGAGAAAGCTGTTTATCATGTGACTATGTACTCACCCCAAATTCCCATGAATATTGCAAAGAACACTGTTGACTCATTATCAAATAAATGAGAGAACTGTAAAAAATAAAAATAATGACATCACAAAGACTTAGTATTGAATGCAATACAAATCCCAAGTTTTTCAATATACCACAAAGTATACATACCTTTGAAGCCAAACAGGTAGTATTTAGTCTCCAATAATCACACACTTCATCACAGAGTGGGCACATGATTATCTGACCACCAATGTTAGGGTCACAAATTTCAATGCTATGCAGGAAACAGTGAAGTTATTTTAAGAGTAATGTTGGAATGAAAATCTAAGCTATTCTCATCAGAACAATTGTTTAAATAGATTCTCACATATGACAAAAAGGGCAGTGAAGCAAATTTCTGTAGATGGTCAAGCCATAGTCACAGAATAAAATCTTTACAACCCATTATTAAAAGAAAAGCAGTTTCCGTAAAGCAACAGGTGAGGGGCAATGGTTATATTTAGGTCTTCTTCAGAAATATCAATTATCCTCTGCCATAAAGAAATATTCTGAGATAAATGCCAGGGAAATAATAATAAGAATCAGACAGCATAAAATAAAGATGTCTTCTATACTTGGGCAACTCACTTGTACTTACCTGCTTTGGTTATTTTCCATTGATAATAAGCCATAAATAAAACAAGCTAAGCCAACCACAGCTGCAAAGAATAACATTTCTGTGTAAAATCCAAGAAAGACAAAATAGATACCAATTTTTTCTCCATAATAATTCCTGTGAAAAGAGTAAAAATAGAAACAGAAGCTGAAAGAATGTTATAATCCAGGGATCTTGGTTTTGTATTCAGACAGATGTGTATTCTAATTTTAGCTCTATTGCATTCTACCCATGTAATTTTGGGAAGGATACTCAACTTTCTAAAATACAGGACAGTATAAAATAGGTGTAGAGGAAGAAAAAATAGCACATATAAGGAAGAAGTCACATGAATTAAATTTAAATTTTAAATAATATAGTAATTTGAAGAATTTCTAAATTTTAAAATTTTAAATTGATTTAAAATAAATTACAAAATATTAGCAAAGTAAGTTCTAGGAATTAATTAAATAAATAAAAATGGCAGTCATAATCTGTATTTTTTTTTTGCTTTAGCTCTCTCTAAAGCTGAAGAAGGTACTCTGACCATGCTGTATGTATAAATTTCTATCTTCCTCCAAAGTTGGGCCTCTGATAGATGTACACAGAATTGTGACACAGGTAGCAGCCCAAAGAATTAAAAATGACCATTTAATAATAGTAACATAAAATATGCAACTCAGCTCTTGCTTGCATGGAGTTATGAAGTAGCAGCATCACTTTGCATAAATGTCCAAGTCTAACAATCAAGTTTTGTTTTCTTTTAACTGAGTTACCCATAGGTTCCTCTGCTCCAGAGATCCAGCTTTTGTTATTCCTTATAATCCTCCTTATTCTTAAAAAAAAATAGTTTGTCAAATCTGTAAGCCTTTCTATAGGTTTCCTAGATAGAAAAATGTGATCCCCTTGGGGTTCTATTAGCAGATTATGTAATTCTGTGAAAGCACTTAGCATTAAATTGTAATTCCCATTCATGCTCTAAAAGAAGACCTTGCTAAAAAGAAAGGTACAAACTTCATTTCCCAATGAAGAGGTCTTTATATTTAATATTCAGCATTTCTCATAGTCAACTTAGTTTTAGTGAACCTCCCAGTCTTCAGTATTCAAAACTCTTTTCTAATTAAATGGCCTTCTTCTGTTTGTATGATCTTTTATTCATTTGAGTGATGACAAACATTTGTGCATTTTATTCTGTTTCCCAAATCATGATATACTCAAAAAGAACTATAATTCTCTCATATTCCCTTGTTAATCTGCCTCATGACTTCCTTGCAGTTACTCATGCTTAGGATGAATGAACTTGCTGTCTCTCAGTATTTGACTGCAAAGTTTAGCAGTTACTATAATACTGCATCTCATCAAAAACAGAAAAAAGATAATAAATATTTTACCTTCTGGAATATTTTTATTCACCAGGTCTCTTTCTTTTTTTTTTTAATTTGGTGGTACTAAGGGTGGAACTGAGGGCTTCATGCTTACTAGGTAAGAACTCCACCACCCAATTCATGCCCCCAGCTCTTTTATTCAGATAGGGTCTTATGCATTTGCCCAAATCAGCCTCAGACTGTGATCCTTCCACATCTGTCTCTCAAATAACTGGGACCACAGGTGTGCATCATCACACCCAGCTTGTCTTTTGAGATAGGGTCTCACAGACTTTTTTTTTGCCCAGGCTGTCCTTGAATTGCCACTCTTCCTATCTCCACCTCCCTAGTAGTTGGGATTATAGTTGTGTGCCACCATACCCAGCCCTCTTTCCTTTTGATGTTCTAAAAATTACAGAATCAATGATCTTTAAGAGGTATACATAATACTGTTTTAGATAAGGCTTACTCAGAAATTCATAAGGAAACTGGGTAGCTCAAAAATCTTAGTTTACGTGTTTATCTCCCTTTCAAATTTCAAGGACATTCTTCCTTGAGAATTAAAACAAAAGAAAGCTCCTCAACAATTCTATACCTATAATTATTAAAACTTCTCAATTAGAGAAATTTCTGAGCATCTACTAGATTAAATCCAGTGAGGTTTTACTAATGTGGAAATATATAAATTACTTTACTGAATTTGGGTTTGACTTAAGTTTTGACAGTAAAAGAGTTACCACTAAGCCATTTCTTAAGAATGTTGAAAGCAAAAGACATGTCTCGGATTTGATCTATGTAAAATTGCATAGGAGACTGAAATAACGTTTAAAAGATTAACCTTTTTCATTTATAACAAAATGAGAGAAATCTAGTAATATGAGACACTCTTTAGAGATCCAAATACTTTTGAATGGACACTTCTTCCTTTTGAGTATGTTTTTAGAAAAATGTGTCATGAATTTATATCTGTCCTGGTTCTTAACCTACCCATTTTACATACCAGACTTTCAATATGTCTGTGACCCATCTTAACTAACATAGTTGATGGGTAGAGGAATTCAGTAATAATTATGGTGAGGAGTTGTGTGAAGGGGAATTTTGTATTTCCAGGATGTACTAATTAGACTGAAATACTCAATAATCAAAAAGTGATGATAGAATTGATTAGAGTAAAATCTTAGGAATGAATGATCAAATTTAAACATTGTTCTAAAGAAATTTGAGGTTTCTGTTCACTTATTTCTATCACCTAAATTGAGATGTAATTAAGATTTCACCATTTTTCCATCAGTATCTTTTTGCTTTTTCTTTTTAAAATCTTATTTGTGTGTATTAATTGTATAAATTAAAAGTACAAATTGTACTTTGATGAAATTCATCCCCCTTTACTATTCTTTCTTATTCCCTCTCCCCCATTCTCCCTTGATTTTACAGTTTTTAGTAGGTTTCATTATATTTTCATACATACACACAGTGTACCTTGATTTTTTATAGTGACTTCAATGATATTTGAGAAACTTAGCTTAGCTATTCTATTTTCTTGGAGTTATAACAGTAACATTATTTTTAACTATAAATATGTTTATTCAAAGCTATTTAATATATAGAAATATATTATTTCTAAGCATTAAGAATGCAAAATAAGTGATATTAAAAGAAAATTTATATGAATATTAAATTGAAAGGAATAAAAAGGCTGATAGGGTATATAATATTAAAGACTGATATGCTAATGATAGTAATATTGGTATTACTATTTTTTCCAAGAAATATTATTTAACACGACAAAATTATCAGGGCCCAAATGTCAGAAAAACCTCTTACAAATATTTAGACATAGAACTGAAGTTTGTATAGAGATAATCAGCTAAGAATTCAGATTTCTACATTTTAAATCTCTTTCCAGGTACCATAAGTTATCCTGTCTTCCTTTCTTTATTCTCCATAGTCAGTCTTCCACTAGCTCCCATAAAGTCTGTCATAACATATTTTTCTAACACATAGTCTCTTCCTTCCTTTTAGCAGTGCCTTGAATAAAATCATCAATATTTATTGATGGCCAATTTTAACTTTCTCCTTACTTCCCTGACTTCAGTCTTACTGGGTTTTCTCATTATGCCCCAACAATTCCCATATCCCAGAAAGTAAATCCTTTTGAAAAGATGGCTTCTTTTTGTTTTTCAGTCACTTCAGTTGGAATAATAAAATATATTTGTTTTACACGTACGCTTCAGTAAGTTCAAATGCAAGCTTCTTGTGAACACCATCCCAAACACATGCACGTACTTCTAATAGTTCAAAAAGGTCCTTTGTAGCCTTTTATAATAAACTTTCTCCCAAAGCCTAGATCTAGGCAACCAGTAATCTGATTTTGGTCCCTACAGTTTCACATTTTCCATAACAATGTTTTAAAATATAGTTTTTGTGGCCTTCTTATTTTCTTAATCATAAATGCTTTTAAATTTCATCCCTGATGTCACATGTACTAATTTGTTTCTGTTTATTTAACTTGATGAAAATATCACGGCATGGACATATGATAATGTGTTTATGCTTTTGCTGGCTCATGCACATGTAGTTTTTAGAATCACATTATTACTAGTCAAGCTCCACGAGAATTCAAATGATGATGTATCTGTGGATATGTGCTTCATTTTTCCTGGTTAAATACTTGTAGGCAGAACTGCTGACCACTTAGATAAGCAAATTTAACTTTATAAGAACCTGTCAAACTATTTGTAAAGTGACTGAACCATAAAGCACTCCTTCCAGTGATGTTTGAGATTTCAGTTAGTTTCTTTTCTTTTTCATTTTAGCTATTGTAGTAGGAATGCAGTGGCATCTTAAAGACATATTTTTATTCCCCTAGTGAAAGATAATGTTGAAATTTTCCATGTACTTATTTATCATCCATAAACATAATTCTTTGGTGAGGAATCTGTTATAATCTTTTCATTTTTTAAATTATTTTGACTTATTGAGTTGCAAGGGTATTTTATATGTTCTAGATAAAAGTTCTCTATTGATCTGTATATTGCAAATATTTTTATCATTCTGTGGTTTGTCCTTTTGATTTCTTAACTGTCTTTTAAAGAGCAGACATTGTTAATTTTGATTAAATCAAATATACCTTTTTTGGAGACCCAGGGTTTGAATGTGTGGTATCTACAGAGGGTAACCAGGCAAGATCCCTGTGCAGGTTTCAGAGCTGAGATTGACTGCAGTGCTGCTGCACCGCAGGGACTGTGGAAGGCTAGAAAGAGTGGTCAGTTAAACTTGTTGGGTCAGAACCTCAGTGAAGTGCCTCAGTGTGTTTGGAGAATAATTGTGATATCCTGAAAGAAGCTAATCAGAATCTTTCGTTCTATGCTATTGAATGATGTTGGGAGCAGAAGGATCTGACCAAACTAATCACATCAAACAATAAACTTCAGTTACTTGCCTGCACTGAGTATTGGTAATATACATGATAATTAGCTGATGTCCCTTCCTTCTGCTTATAAGAAAAGCTTAATGTCAGCCTGAAAGTGCTCCCTGTAGAAACTGTAAATGTAAGGCCTGGTATCTCCAGCTAATGAACAAACTTGCATACTAGAGGTATTTGAACACCTTTGTAATTTAGAAGATTTAGATTTTTGCGTGTAAGGGCAAACCAGATTGAAATGTTAGGGTCAGAACATCTTAAGCGTTTGAATTCTAAGCTTGTGCTACACCTGAGGGATAACAGATGAAATAACACTACTATAGTCTTTGGAAAAGCTTGACCTAAGCAAC